AAATCAGGTGTGTTTGAGCAGAGAAAAACGTAAAACATGTAGGGCTGCGGCCCTCGAGGACCAGGATTGCCCACCCCTACGATAAAGTGTGTGAGTGTGGCCTTGTTTTTGCTACTTGGTGGGGATGATTTTTCAGGAAAATGCTGCCTTGTGGGGACTGGATGCTCCTTGTGAGGACCAAAGCCTTCAGAGGCTGATTTTGGGTGGGAGGATTAGGTTTAGGACCAAGGTGTCAATTGAGTTTAGGTAGTTTTAGGGTCAGGTAGGTGAGGTTTATTTTAGGGTAAATGGTCAGGGTTAGGATATAAAATAAAAAAAAATGAAAGAAAGTCAATGAAAAGTCCCCACAAGGATAGAGAAACATAGTGTGTGTGTGTGTGTGTGTGTGTGTAGCTCTGTGATCAGAGCTGCAGTCTTGCAGTATTGTAATCCTGAGGTTACAGGTCCGAGCCCAGGATGCATTTGAAAGGACATCTTGTTTAAAACAATTGCCAAATTTTTGAGGGAAATATTTAGGTCGAGAAGTTTCGACAATCACAAATGCATACAGGACCATTAACACATGCACATGACAATTCACACATGCATATAATTCACATGTGCACCAGACAAGATTCACACATGCACATGACAATTCTCACACACGTGTGTTCTTCYAACCTCATGGGGACTTTGCATTGACTTCATTCATTTGCTGGTCATTTCTATACCCTGACCCTGACCTCATACTCTAAACCTAAACTCACATATACATAACTGACCCTAAATATAACCTAAACTCAATTCACACCTTAGTCCTAACCCTAAGAGACTGGGTTCAGGTCTTTTTTGGTCCAMCTGAAGATGTGTATGGCTTTATTCATCTGCATCTAAAATCTGATTTTTTTTGTTTGWTTTTACTGTATTTATAGCAACCTGTATGTGCATAAATAAAGTTAATTGTGACTGGATTGCTGAGCTTCCAGTGGTGTTGGCAATAAAGTGGATTGCTGCTGTCATTAAAACAACTCCAACTTGTATGTTAATGTTATCTCAGTTTTATTTTACTATGGCTTATGATGTTATTTGCGAGCTCAAATTATACAAAAATCACAAACTGTGGAATGAGCTTGCTCTTCTAATAGGAACGTTATATTTCCTTTAAGTTTAGGAGAATGTTAAAATCCAGTCTGTTGAAGAAATATGAAATGAGATAATACGTATCCTTAAAA